ATTTTGTAAAGATCAGCATAAACCTGTACATCTTGATGAACAGTTAGTAAAGTGTATTTATCTTTTCATTTCTTTCTTGTCAAAAAACCCAAGTACACACTGAAAAAGCATATGTATCATTGCCAATCATAAGTACATAGTATTATTTCCAAACAAGTGATACACTGAGAGTATAAACTGTATTCGTGTAACTGCAACTACAGTATCTGAAGTCGGGACAATTAATCGCGCCCATGGACATGCAATATATATATATATATATATATATATATATATATATATATATATATATATATATATATATATATATATATATATATATATATATACAACGTAGGGCCAGGCACAGCTATGCATCAAAAATATTATAGTTCACATAAAATATTTACGTTTATACTGGGATATTCTCGGAGGCTTCGAAACCTTTGACCTAAAGATCTAATCTGCAAGACAGTGAACCAATGTTGGAAGGTGCTTTCCAGTGGCAACTAGTCACCAAAAATAGGTCTATACACTATTTGTTCCTTCATGATCTCGCAGCTTATAGGCACCAGTGTTTTGTAACCACAGTTTTTAAACACCGTCTGGTGGACCCACTGTAACCACCAACCCAATTTAAGCAACAGGTGTTCGCTTTCCATCCTCTCATTTCCATAAATAACACCAGTGAGTAGGACTGCCCTAGCCGATGATATAAACGCACGGCTTCGTGAAAACATTTCGAGAAGGAGAGGAAACTATCCCCAACATTGTACGTACTATAGCATTTGGAATCATATATTTATAAGATTTTAATATTTCTTATTTTAATGCATATGATCATAAGTTGGTTGATATCAGTCGAAATTTTTGTTTATATTTTTAAAGTTCTCAGATTCGTGCTCCATGAATTCAGTGTAGAATGTGAATGAAAGCAAGAAACATGGGAGAACATGTAAAAATTTTGTTAATCTCGTTATCTCTATTTTTCAACAATTGATCAATTTTTATTTTTAGAATCTTTTTACGTTTGTTTTATAATTTCACTTTCTCCTTCTTTCATTCTTTACCTCCCTGCCGTATGTGTGCATGTGCTTGTTTCTATAAAAGTTACTATAAACAATCATTGTTTGTTGTTTTTTGTTCTCTTAAACAGGAGGGGGTCAGGTTGGTTGTCCCCACTTATGTATTTGTGATTTTTATCCCAACTTAATTGATGAAAGTGCACTCATCATCATTATCAAAACAGCCGGTGTGATGATGTTTCATATTTTTGAGAATTCTTTTCAAAGTGTTTAGCTTATTTATTTATTTCCTATCGAATTAAAACAGTTCTTTATAAATGTAACTATATGTACAAATTTATTTATCTATTTATATTCGTAACTAAACACATTGGTGATCATAAAGCATTTTGTTTACCTGTTGTTATTGTTTTTACACGTTCTATTCACGTGATTTTCTAGGATTATAATTTTAAACAAACTTTCAAATCAATAACTGGAATTAATTTGAATGTACTCCTTTCCGAGTTGGTTTTTGGTTTGTTCTTCATGAGTATTTAGCGGATTATCTTTTTCGCTTTTCCTTATGTTTGACACCGAAATTGATTTATATTGTCTCAAATCTTATCTGTTTGTCACAATGCATATCTTTTCTATATATGGAACACAGTCTCAGCAACTGTTCGTCTGTTCTTGTTTAGTCTTATATATTAATTTATGTAAGATTCACATAGTTAATCACCTGCCCACATAAAGGAATTCCGTTGATGCTTCACACACCTGTATAAGTGTAATAGTTCGATTCTCCGAAATTCACTTCTTTCTCTTTTAGTACTACTCATGAGTACCGTTTCTGTCTAGATGTTATTGTTCATTCGTTTTTCTTTATGTTCTATGATTCTCACTTTTTCTATTCTTTATTATCGTTTCAGCTTCTGATCGCTCCAGAAAAGGTGCTCTTTTTTGCTTTTATGTTTCCACCAATAATACTAATACTTCTACTGAAACAATGCAAAAAAACTAGATATTTGATTAATTGCTAATGCTTAGGTCTTTGCAATGAATTGGTGCTATTGATATTTTTCTTTAAATTTGACATAATATTATATTAGATCTGTGTATGTATTCGTGTATAACGGTCTTTGCAAATGAGAAAAAACGACACCACAGCTCAATAGGATCACACTCGTTTTGAAATATACTCAATAATGATGATGCCTATCTTTGATATCGTTACTATTTGTATGATGTACTATATATATATATATATATATATATATATATATATATATATATATATATATATATATATATATGATTTGGCCTATGTACCTCTTAATTATTGTTTTTTTATTCCTTCGAGATGAATACGATGAAATTGCTAAGTAAATAATATATCGTTTTTTTTACAAATTGTGTTACTAGAGCATGGTTATCGTCAAGTTTACAGCATAATTACACTAGGTAGATATTGCCGCTATTTGAATGTATCTTATGGAATGGAATATAAATATTAGTTGAAAGTAACTGAGAAATGTAATGTAAATTATATTTTACTAAGTCATGAAATTTCCATGGAAGGTGCATAAAGAACTATGATATTTGGCCAATATTTTTAAAAGGAAAAGGATTTGGGAAGTTGTACGGCGAAAATAAAAATTACACTTGATAGTATATATGTGCTTACTTATTTCTAATATTAATATTTTGTCAGTCTAAACTTGTGTATTCTTTTAGTTCATGCTCAAATCGTACTCTTTAATATTTGCTTTTTGGTGTAGAGTTAGGTTGAACAAAAGCTGAGGTGGTGATCAAGCCAATACAGACTACTAGCCCATAAAGTCATTGACTGTTAAGGTGAATTGTGTGTGTGTGGTAGTGTTGATTCCCTGATCAGCAACAATGTAATATTCATGATCAGTGGTTGAAGACATTAAGCTATATGACCCGAAATCGGTCTTAATTTTCCAGATGTTATTCATTTCTTATCTCTCCTTAGATCTTAAACCATCATTCCCATTTTTCTTCATATATAACCTTAAAACAATTCAGAGAGGTTATCCTTTTTCAATAAATTCATTGACAAACATATTAGTTCTCAGGTTTATTTAGATATTAATTCTTAGCAAATAGTGATATTTTTTTATTTAAACGGACTTTTTCTCAGAATAATATAATATAGATGGTATAACTTATGATGTATGAAATGTTTGTTTTTTAAACAATCTATTACTATTGATAACAAGGTTGTGTTTATATAAGTTATTTTCTTTAAAATCTGTAATATTTTCTAAAACATTGTAGTGTTAAGATCTAACTGAATATTGATATGTAAATACTTATAATTGGAAGGTAACATCCTTTTGTGTTTACTAATTATAGATGTGTACTCTATCATATACACAAAATCAAGGGATACTTATTTTGGAATTGTATTGATAATTTCCGTGTCTTTTGGTTTGTTAGCAAAACAAAAATTAACTATTATAAAAAAATAACTGACATACATTTTTCGTATAGCTGGAATTTAGATTGGAGCTTTTTCTCACTGGTTATTTGTAAACTTTAAAGTTATATACATTTTGAAACGCAATTATTAACCTTAAATATGATGAAACTATTTTAGCTAAAAGATCATAGATCTACTGTGGTATCTCATACTACGTGTGGAGCAGTTCCATGGTCGTTAAGGTGTTTGACTTTCAACCCCTAAATCCCGGGTTCTAACTCTGCTTCGTCTACTTCGGTTTGGTCAACTAGGTAATATCATTCGAGTGTGGCCCATACCCTAGTACCTGATAAATGAGCTAATTTAATCCTACAAAATTAAGCAGTTGTCCATTCGTCAATGGCTTTCAATAGTTCTGTAGCTAAGATTATGTGACAAACAACAGTCTCAAGTGGAAAAACTTAGTGAACCCTGCTTTATTAAGAACAATCATCTTACAAAAGTAAATTCATCCTTCTAATACCTTTGTTAATTAAATTGTTTTCAGTTTTTTCCCTATTACTTTTAACTTACCTGTTAAAAAGAAACTCCTTTACTAATGACTTATTTGTTGATAGAATTCAACCTTCCATCGAAACAACAAGATAATGTATTCGTAATATTTCCCAACGATTAGAAAAAAGAAGACTAACGGTTCACGACTTAGTGTAAGTTACTGTTTAAGATCTAACTAGAGCAAAAGTCTAAGTTAAATTTATTTAGATGTTTTGATCGAATTCTAGATAAAACACATTAATTTTTTTCACAAATGTTACTAATTATCATGTGTGTAAAGTGAATCTGTTAATATTAAACATAAAATTGTACTGTTGTGTTAATTTGCTTGACCAAATAGTCACATTGCAGCTTAATCAATAAGATCCGATTAAAATTAAGGACTGGATAACGTGACATTAGTTATTGTTGAGTGGTTTATCAAATATAAAGCAAGTCATAATTTTAATGTTATATTATCTGACAAAATGTTTCGAAAAATACGTGATTCTAATTCAATAACAGCGATCATTTTTTGTACCATTAATGGTACTCCCACTACTTCGAATAATGGTTTATTAATTAAGTTATTTCTTGCTTTTAATTATTGGGTCACAGATTTAAACCAAGATCTACTTCGGTTTGGCTCCTGATTAGTTTCACTAGTCCTCACACAGCTAGTGTTGAACCTGTAAGTAGTAAATTCGTTATATACGTTGGGTCAGATGGTTCAGGATCAATCACAGTGGGGCAAATACATTCACTCCTTAACTCCCAATCTTGAGTTTCAGTATTTTTTTGTTCACAGGTTTTCATTCCATCTTTTCAAAACATATTCTCAATGTGTAGTGTGTATGACTACAATTACTACTACATTATTTCTACTCGTTTGCCTTTCATTTTACCAATTTTATCGCATCTTGCTAACGCCATGTCGCAGCTTGGAGTAACGCACTTTTGTTCTAGGCTCTACGTTGACTATGTTTAACTAAAATCCGTTACATTATTCTGAATTTTAACACCTACGGGAACGACAATATTGGTGCATAAGAAAAGACCAAACTTTAGTAATAATTAAACACTTCAAAACAGAATATAAACATCACGAACAAATAATTTATCTAAGTAACACATTTTATGATTCGACATTATCAAGTTTATTTTAGGAGAACGTTTCTTGACCAGCATCTAGACGATTGGCTATTAGTTGGAGAAATTCAGCTGTTTGCTCTAATAATTTCACAAATACAGTTCCATCTATGTGCTGTACATCATAATTAAATAGTCAGATATTAATAAATTCACTCACTTGTTGAGCAACAGAATTCAATGAAGTAGGAATCTCTTCGTCAGAATTTACAGGAAAATCATGACTGTTGTTAATTTTCATATTGTCATCATTATAGCTCATTGTGTGAGTGGTAATTTGTGGGTCAACTTGTTGGAGATGAGATTTATGTAATTGTGATTGATGATGAATCAGCTTGTTTGTGTTTTTAATCTCTTTTTCAGTGGTCTCACGACAACCAACCATTGGTGCTGTTTGCCTAATCAACTTATTGTTTTCTGTGTTCTAAAATTATCATTGTTCATTTCTACAGATATTCACTCACTGAAATCATATTGTTTAAATAACTGTGCTCTTTCAGGTAAATAGTTTCAGCCAAATTGGATGCCTTTCCAGAACTTAGATAACGTGCACTCATTCTCACATACGGTTCACCATTCCTTCTTTTAGCGTTACGTCTGCATGCTTTCAGATAAGCGCATATTTTTTCACGATGAAATGAATCACTGAATTCAGGGAAATTTCTCTCGAGTACGCATTTCAAAATATCCAGTATATACTTTGGTTGGTGTGAGTAAGTGATTTTTCTGTCGAGATATTCATCAACCAGTCTACGTAATAACAGCTTATTTAACAAACAAGAGAGAAAAAGCAAGATTACAACAGTAGCACTTACATTGTAAGTAATCTCCCTCTCAGAATACTCTTTCCTCTCAATATTCTCCTGATTGGAGATTAAATATGAAGTCAACTAGATTGACTTTAATTTACTACATATTTGAAATACCATAGTGTCCTGCTTCATAATCTCAGAAAATTCATCAGTCTTTGTAACAGTGAAGTAATCAACAGGACCACTTCTGTTAATATCCTTTTTTAAATATAGATGATAGGATTTCAATAAGCCAAATATAAACTTACAGAATTGACAGAAATTATTTCTGAATTTTGGTTATTATTATCATTGACATTACAATTCTCTTCTTCTTTTATAATAGTTTGTATACTCTTTGTTAATAGGGTAGAATTATTTAAATATGACTTTGCTTCATTCAAATTTAAGTAATGATTCTCCATAGTTTAACCAATGTCACTGTAATAAATAATGATCCAGTCTTAATATTTCAACTAAATTTATAAATACAAGTCTGGTGGAATCAGATCAAATTTTAGGTAATATGAGTAATTTAAAATAATCAATTCTTTTTTAGATGGAATATAATCTATCTATCTATCTATTGTGTTGGGTGGGATGTGTTACTATTAAAAATCGATTGTTGTATATACACATATTACAATAGGCCTGTATATTTATGACATGTAGAATATTCTGTAAGTGATATTATGATTAGTAAATTGTGATAAACACTCGTTTGTTTCGATAATAATAATATACAGAAATGTAACATTAAATGAGTCATTAAAAGAAAGAATATTTTGTTACAATTTACATTGTGAGTAATAAAGCTACATAACATACATTTTTATATTTTGTTCTAATTAAATGAAATGTGAATACAATCTATTGAATGATGTGTATTATTATTATTATTATTCAGAAGGGGTTTGTGGAGATTTTTAGAAATTTTCACAGATTGAAATCATGAGTCAATTGAAACTAGACCACCATTGAAAACCTGGAAGCACTGGACGGCCGTTCCGCCCCAGTATGGGACTCCTCAGCAGTGCGCACCCACGACCCCGCACCACTCGGGGCTCGAACCCAGGACATACTGGCTTCGCGCGCGAGCACTTAACCATTAGACCACTGAGCCGGCATCCAACGGTGTTAATGTCTAACTTCAAGCAATCCAAGAAGTTGCGCTACCGTACACCATTGTCTTCAGTGAATTCCTATCTCACAACAGACCTGGTTGAACTCCACTGGTAACGACTTCTCACTAGAACTCCTGAAGTCAGTCACTAGTGAGCAGGTGATTATTATTATCAGAATGTGTTTTGTGGAGATTTTTAGAAATTTTCACAGATTGAAATCATGAGTCAGTTGAAGCTAGACCACCATTGTATCAATTACACTTCATAGCTGATGATTTGATTGTGAATCATTTTGACTTAACCATGTAATTATGACTTAATAATAACAGAGGAATTTTTTCTTTATCTTAAAAATATTCATTCTGTTAATGATGAATTAATAGTTCATTTATAATTTTGCTTTTATGTTCCTCCTTTTAGGTGATTGATCATGTTAGTTATAGATAGTATATAGAACCTATTATAAATCTGTATCGGTTCAAGTCTCCCATGTCTTAAATCAGAACAGAAACTATAAATTAACAAAATGAATACCATTAAAGTTTATTTTAGTGGAGAATTAAGAAACGTTTTTTCGAATGGTATGAGAGGTAGACGAATGCAACGTATGTAATCGATTTGAAATATAATAAAAGATAAAGACTACAATTTGTCTTGGACTATGTCATTGAATGTTTGCAACGATAGATGATGACTGCCTACCAAGCCTCAGCCACAAAGCATACATATTCCCATGCTTCTTACGTCAGCAGTTTTAGTAACTTTGTGAAATGATGATAAGTTTTCATTTGTCAGCTTTCTTCCAAATTAATCTTATATCAGGATGGGTATCCGTGATATACCCTTCAAGTGACGTAATGATATATGATACTATTGTTCTTCAGATTTTTAACAACACCGTTCCTATATGTTACTTCATTTTTACTACCCCTTGACTATGGAATAACTTTAAATTCTGACTGACTTTATTACTTCTGATAATGACGCAATAGTTTTCTATTTATATGAACTATATTTTAAAAAAATATAACACTGAATATAATTTTATAGCTCTAATAAATGAAATAGTCGACTAGGAAATTTTCTCTGTTGAAACGTCTTCAAACAAAATAACATATAATTAGTAATATTGTTATAAATATAAGTTAACCAACCTTATAACAAGAAGACATAGTAAAAAGTAAGTGATAACAATATCTAGTCTAAGTTGTAAAAAGCTGAATAGATATTAAAAACTAATTTCATGAGCCAAAAAATGGAATAATATTGAAAACGTAAAATAAATTTATACTGTTTTGGTATATGAAACGAATGCAACACCGATTGTTGTGATTAAAGCCCATGTATTATTATTATTACTATTATTCACCCGATTATTGAATGAACTCGAATTTGCTTATGTTTGAAGTGTATGAATGAAATATGTAGTGAACGTCACAAATTTGTCATCAAATTACTAGATAGAAAAAATATATGATGAGAAGGACATTATTGTTAAAAGCAAATATGATTCATATGAACACATGTGTTATTTTAACTTTTCTTCTTCCTTTATACAGTATTATGTTTTCAATTAATTTTCTTATGGTTGTTAGCATACTATACAAAACCTTTTGAATGGTAGATGGGTAATCAGTAGAATGTGTTGAATCTGCATTTTTTAAAATACTACTTGACGTCCATTAATCAGGAAATATTTAAATTCTTAAAGAAGGATTCATGTTCTTTCTTTTATGTAAACATAAGTCTCTTGATGTATTAATCAGTGATTATCACCACTCACCTATCAGTTATTGCAAATGCATGTTAATCCAACATAAGAAATAAAGCATATCTTAATTTCAGGTGATAAAAGATAAGCTATAGAAAGCTCCAAATCTAAATTTAGTGTTGTTTGGCTCATGTTAGCAAATTGTAACTACAATCTTGAAGGGAATTGTACTCTTCGTGGGATGCAAATTTCACAACCCAGTGCTAATCAATAATGTTATCACTCAGCCATTCCAGCTGCGATTGATATCATGTAGAACAGAGATAGTTGAACTGAATAATCACTGAGTAGTAATCAGTGATGCGTTTCTTTAGCTCTTAGTGTCCTGACCATATTATATAGGTGCAATATGGCCACTACTGTGTACATTAATAGTTATCTGCAAGTCACTTTTCTCAAATAGTGCGTATCATATAGCCTACGGATGAACAAACTCTTCATCTTGCAATAATTATCATAAATATAGTTGAGCTGATCATCTAAAATCTACAATAATAACAATTTATGCATAAATTTATTACCCCACAAATTGTATCGTTTAGTTAAAACTATCCAAAAATGAAGGTCAAGGTATGCTAAATTCACAACAGCATAATACAGTTTAATGGAATTCACTTTAACTACATATAATATTCTAATATATTAATGCATAAAAATTTTTATTGATGGTAAAGTCAAGGTGAAAGGTGAGAATTTTTATATAATCACTTCATCATATCGTGTAACTGAATCAAACAAATTTCTTTATTGATTATTCCGTTGGTATGGAAGATGTTTCAATAATCCACAACGTTAGTGATTAGTGAATCATAGCAATCTAAACCATTTAGTTAAGTAATTTGTTTCATGTATAGTTATTTGACTATGTCATACATATGAAGCTGTGACTCGGTCATTAAAGCATTTGGTTTTTTAATTGGTTAGAACAATGCAGCGCCTAATCCAATTTAGACGTCCCAGAAAATATTCCTTTCCAAATATCTGTCTGTCTTCTTATTTCATTTAGAAATATTACTTCTTTTGACCAGCTATAGTTGGAAAACTCATAACGTTAATAGATGTTCTCTAGTAGATTAGTTTCACCACATTACTACTTCACTAAATTCACAAGTTGATTATAAATTCAGGTTAACCAGACTGACCTTTGCTGTTGATAACAGTTCCCTTCAAGACATTAAACGATCTCTCAACATACTATAGCCCTAAAAAAGTATAGGTCGTCACCATATATTGAACGTAAATGATATGAAAAAGAAGACTCCACTCTTTGATGTGTAGGCTGTCCAACATATTTTCCATAGAAAACGGATAAAACCTGCCATTCTAAAATACACATGAAGTTAGAACCATGTCAAATTTTCGGTGTCTCTCACCCTATATAATACACATTATCTTCTTTATGAATGACGTCACTTTTCCTTTAAGATTTATGGTTATTACTGTGTTTTATATCATTAATAATGGTGTACTTAAATGTGATATCATGTTTATTTACATTTGTTTCATGAATTTTTATTCTTCATAGTATTGACAACTTTGTCACAAATATTCATTGGAAATAAGTTTCGCATTAAATTTTTTTAATAATGGACCCCTATATCTTACTGTTACCTCTCCTTTTGCATCAGTTCCAGGAGACATTATTTATCATAATTATAGAGACTATTATTACGTAACCAAAGAACTTATGTTATTAGTTACCTTTGTTAAGAATAGTGTTATAATACTAACATTAGAATAATCTTAAGATAGTCTATTTACTTCATAATTATTAATAAGTCTGTTTAACTACCTAATATTGCCCCCAAATGCCTGGGTACGGCTAAGGGTGGGGGAGTTAGCTCCCCTCTCGAAATGCTCTCGCATGGTCATGTACATACAACCACTGCCTCCTTGTGGAGGAGGTGCTATTTACGAAATTGAGAGGACGAAAAGCAAATATCTGGCGCTTTAACTGGGTTAGTGGACATGGAGAGTCCACGTAGGGGAGTTGGAAAACCCTGATTCCAAACCAATGGTGCACATGGGCTCCAGTATCCTGAAGGAACAAATGGCGTATGAACCAATTATTGGTCACCGGCGACCATGGGACTGCATCTCCTGACGTTGCTCACTGCCTTGTGGACCAGACCTTTGGTTCAAATGCTCCGGGTGTGGCCCCCTAAGAAAACAACCTGGTTCGGTTCGGGCATCCAGAAAGTATCACAGCCCACACACAAATCAAGTGACTGGTGTGGCGCTTATGTATTCGATGCCCCTTTATACCAATATTTATGTGTTCAAATAAATACAACTAAATTAGTGTTAGTTATATTTAATGGTATATATTTATCGGCTAGAACAAAGAGAACATGAATTTATATCAATCATGGCATTAACGTTATTTAAAAACTTCACTGGGCTCTTAACTCTCTCCAGTGTTGTAAATAGCTTTTGTCAATTAATCTTATCAAGTATAAAAGTAGACAACATGGTTTCTTATCTACCACTTAATTAACCTATTAGCTTTAGGATTAAATAAAACAGATGC